GATTTCCTCATTACCCATCTTTAGCGTGGTGATGTTCATAATTGCAACTCGTGTAGTATCAGTATCCAGTAAAAATCTGACATCTTCCTAGATTTCATATTCAGCATTTAGGAATGAGCACTGATACAATATAAAGCGCTTTTTTCACGCTAAACCTGTTGTCACTGTACGAAAATGAGAGGAAGGGCTTAGAGCTCCGTATAGATTGAATTCTTCCATTTCAACAATTCCATTATGATTGTTTGTTATGGACAAATTTACAGCCAAAAAAAATCCAACTATGTTACGTGGCCCGGATAGAAGAAATAATGCTAATAAAAAGTACTTTTCGTTATAGAATTTTGACGCTGCACTCTAAAAAACAAAATGACGTCTTCCTTTGACGCTTACGACCTAATGAGTCGATCTCTTCTGTCATCGATTATGGGACTGAAACGAAAGGAGCGAGTTCGGTATCCGATGGACAATTCACCTTCAAGTTTGTGTTTTCTAGAAGGTTTAAAACTTGGAAAACCTGAAATAAACAAGAAAGTTGCTATCTATACATCTATACTAAAAATTGGCTAAAAACTTGTAAATTTCGTGTAACTAGAGGCACAATAATGTGTAATGAAAGTTTAGATAATCAACTAGTGGATTTTTCAAGCGTTTTTTCTACACTATTTCGAACTACTAAATGAACTTAATTCTTAGTTGTTGGAGCTTCATGTAGTTTTATTTAGATTTAGTCACTTCAACAACATCGCTTCATCGCTTTAGTCAGCATCAGGAAACTGAAAGAACTCCTCACGACATCTACCGAGAGATCGTACTTGAGTGCTCACAAATCGAACACATTGGCACGGTTGGTACTCCTAGATTAATATCAGAAAAATCCTTGCGGAAACAAGTAATCCGGGTGGGGATTTCTTAGAAAGGTGCAACCTGTGCAACAGTTCATGTGTTGCCGTATTTATAGAACTAGAATTTTCCAAAGTGGAGTAGACTCCTTTGAAATGCGATATAGAGCGCCACCCTGGTCTTTTCAGTGTTGTCACAGCGCTAGATCTAAAATTTTGGTAATTGAACGTTTACATGTAACAATGCTCACGGGTTTATAATGTTATGGTAGCAACGAGAAGCGGGTACAAAAATTGCAAACAATGCGGTCAGTGAGTTGAGAAGAAATAAAAAGCAACAGTGAGCCTTATCAGTGGCAGAGTATCTTCTGCAGTAGCCCTTAAGTAACAGGGTAAAAACTATGGACGAGCTGAAGCTGTAGAGGAAATTGGTATTGATCCAAATGGAGAAACATTACACGCTGCCTGTGAACGACCTAACATACGGATTTTTCAGAACTATATATTGATGAGGATAATGAATTGTGTAGAAAGTGCAATAATGAAGAAGAAGATGTTATAGGGATACCACACAATGTAGATCGTTGTCATCCTAGGGCGTAGTGGCAGAATGCATGTAACTGACGTTTTGGCAGTATCGCCTACTTCGCTTTATCGTATCGCCGATTGTTGTGAAAAAATGCATGTGTATTGGAAAACTGTTACATAGCGATCGAGGAAAACTTGCCGTAGTAGTTAATATTATGATAGAACAGATGACAACAGTGAGCGCAGAACAACATGGAAAACTGGTTGAGAGAACGTCAAAGCAAGGGCCTCAAAGATGGGGTGGACAATATGTGGACCCTCGGAAAGGGTAATCGCCGGTGTGAAACTGGCCTGGGATCCAAGTTTTGCAAATATATCTGCATCATCTTGGCAATACACAACTAACTGGTCGATTTTCTTCACACATTCTCGCGTTGATTAAGGAAAGAGATTGATTCCGTTTAAAATGCTGAAAATACTTGAACGAGATCGGAAAAGTGAAACTATTACAGGTAAATTCAGAAGTACTTTCATGACCTCACTGGATAAAACTTAAGACATAAGTTTTCGTTTACAAAATAAACAGCTTCTTTTAAACACTTACCGTTTTGTTCTTTGTAAGCATTCCAGCTATTAGTTTGAGACCAGCCATACAGAGTCTTACATGGGCGAGGAATGTGCCCGATAGAGTTTAGCCTGTGTTTGGCCCGAGGTCACGCGTGATCACAGGGCACTTTTCGTTGTGGTTTATTTTTGGATTTTTGGATTTAATCCGAAACTTTCCAAGAGTTTTACGTGCTCGTGCTATGGATTCCTGGGCGAGGATAGTGATTTTTACTTTAAAATCGTCTTTGTTATGTATCTGTTTCCAATGCTCCTGGTGGAATATTTGGTTTAATTTTAAATTTACCTTGCTTAGCACCGCATACAGTTTGGACGACCATCAAGACTGGCTCCATTGCGAAGTATACGTTACATAAAACGAAGTAAGGACATTACCATCAACTCCTTTTCTCGAATGTTCTTTGGAAAGCAAAGCACCAACTACGAGGTAGACATCAATTTTCGCATATTTCTGGAATAAACTCTCAAAATCCCTAACCTAACCAACATCGCGGGGAAATGCTTAGCTGCAAACTCACAGTAGCCCAAAAATGTGGTTTGCGACAGTTCGAGAATAAGACCAAACAAATGTTAAGCTTCCAGCCTTGTCAAATAGATGTTGAAAGAATGGAAAACGACTTGAAAACTCTTTCCTTTATTGTCCATCATCTAAAGTGGACTTTAAAATTCAACAACGAAAATTGAACAGCGAATGAGTCAAAGTGATAAATGCGGCAGGTTTAAAACCACAGTTACTGCTCAACTTAAAATTGAATTACCAACGATTTCCGGCTTATGCTTGCTTACTAACTAACAAACACACAAGTTACTAGGTGCTAATGATCTGGTGTCTGCCTTCCCTTCGTCGTTCAGAGTTAAATCCATCACCAGTTTTGCAAGCAAAGCCTACGAATAGAATAGCTTTGTTATAAAACTAATTCTCATGCAGTTGCTGAAACATATCCCAGACCATCTCTTGAACACCCAAATGTTCCTGGAACGTCTCTGTAACGTGCGTCCTAACAGCGCATATGTTATGAAGTCCTTCGACGTTACCTGCCTTTATACTAACCTGTCAAATGTCTCAAGTCGAATCTTCGGCAAGTTCCTTATGCAATACGAATGAGTAGCACACCAGTGTAGGTTCTCGACTCAGCAGCCTATGGCCGTCTTAAAGGAGTGCCTAAACTTCACAATCTTTAGATTGTCCAAAAAATGTTGCGCACAAATGAGAGGGTGTGCAGTGAAACTGCGACTATTAGCCGGCCCTGCCATTAGGTCTATAGTGCAAGCACTAGTAATCGCTATCCGGCCATCAGTCTACTGAAGATAAATAGATGACTGTTTTATCATGTGCTCCAAATTGTTGAATGAACAGTCGAGAACATCAAATTTTTCCGAGAGAAACTGAAAGAAATGGCTTCGATTTTTGAAAGTTGAAATTAACTAATGCGAAAATGGCTACATCACGAATTGGTACCGAAAGTCAAATAACAAAAACGTACAGGCCCATTACCTCTCTTCTCACGTCTCACACACGAAAAGAGTGCCTGTGAGAAACATGTTTGGAGCAGCCAACAATATCTGCTCAAGAATAGAGCACCAAGGGGAATCACTGAAATCGGTGCAGCAAATAGCCATTTGAGATTGTTACTAAACGCTAGCTCCTAGGTATACGTGTAGAGAAATTCTCAGGCTCCCGAACGGTGATTCTAAAAATAACGAATGAGGTCCTGTTTATCCTGCCCTTCATTTGAAATAAAGTAAGTGCAGTTATAAAACGCTACTTAAGAAGTGCTGGTCTATAGAATCCGGTAACAGTGCTTGAAATATCTCCGATCTCTCTCAAACATCAGCGAGCAAGTAGCTGCCTGTATGACCGTTTATGCAGAGCACAAAAATTACATAATATGCCTTAACGGTAGACACAGTGATTGTATTAGTTCTGGCACGTTGTACCTATTCTCTTGTAAAGCATGTGGAGGCGAATACGTTGGCGAAACTGCTAGACACGGTATTGTGCTTCCGTATAAAAAAGCACTTAATCAGCATCCTTAAAGTTAAACCAAATACTCCACTAAGCACTCATAGGACATAGAGACATAAAAGGGAAGATTTCGAAGTGAAAGTCACTACCCTTGCGCAGAAATCCAATACACGAGCACGTAAAAATTCTGAAGTTTTTAGTAAACTCGAAAAATCCAGAGATGTACCGCAGGGCGGAGAGAGCTGTGTTCAATCGTGAACTTGTCCCGTATCACTTTTTGACCTGAGCCAGGTATATTCCTTGTCTGTATGAGACTGTGTGACTCCCACGAAACAACTGAAAGACTTAAAAAGAACGAAACGATGAGTATCTGAGAAGAGCTTTTCACTATGCAAATATTCATTCATATATTGAGTTTTCTCTGCTAGGGTTATGATAGTATTCGACTGAGTGAATTGGGTGTCAATTTGACCTTTCCAGGCTTCGAAGTGGGCGAAACCGTTGTAAGGTCAGCTATTGTGAATGGATAAATGCTGTAATAACAACACACTTTCGCTTATCGAGTAAACAATGAATTATGACTGCAAAGGTTGAAAGAAAGTTGGGTGTGGGACTTGACGAAGACTTTAAAATAGGTCAAGAAGTTTGCTTCTAGTGGTTATCCAGCCTTTTCCATCCCTTTGCAATCCCTCGAATGAATGTTTAGAGGTCACAAGTTGAAAGCGACATTTTACTTCCGCCATCGCTAACATTTTATCAGAAAAAATAAAGAAAGGCAAAATCCTTGAACTTTTCTAGTCCACTTCCTTGGCTGAATTCGATTCATCGTCAACTTCGTCCAGCAGGCTTTCCACTATTCCACCTTTTCTGGTTAACTCGTCATATGCGTTGCGTGCGTCATTCGATAGAGAAGAGCAACCAAAACCACGCTCAGTGATAATAGATGATCCTCACGATAGAGGTATTAACGCTGTTAGAAGTGTTATAAACCAAACGATTGTACTACTCTTTTATTCTGATACATTTGAATTCCACTGGTGTTGTTGAGATCTGTTACCAATTCAGGAGAAGCAATAACGGATACTTCACCACCACCGTATTCGCTATTTCCTCCAGCTCTCATTGACAATGTTGCGTCAAAAACCACCGAACAGTCATTGTTGCCGGTGACTGGACAGTCCATGATGATGCTGTCGGTAAAGCGGGAGGATGGTGTGGTAAGATAAAAACAACTTTGAAATTCGAATTAAGCTTTGAGCAATCAGTAAAGAATAGATGCTAATTAACCAGCGGTTTTGCTGCATGAAGAACATTTATTTCACGTGAAGTAAAAACACATTACTTTTGGATCAGTAATATGACTTCATTAAATCGTCATGATGTTATATTTTGGCGGTATGTGATACCTGGTAATTGACGGTTTCCCCTGACCCTCCGATTCACTGTGATCACAGTTGTTTTCGTTGAAGAAGCGGCTTAAAACACGATAGGCTTTTGAAGGGTAAGAGAAAATTGGTATTTTTCCTAGTTTTTGTTAGCCATTGTATATTTTTTATTCTAAATACTTAATGCCATCAAGGTTTTGATATTTCCACTTCCACTGGGTACAAATGAGAGGTTTATGTCTTTAATAACTGCGAACACCTCATCTAGTAATAGTAGGATAAAAATGTTTTGATCGTTGCGTTGCAGTGAACAATTCCAGGAATAGTAGCATTCATGAGTGCGTCATAAGTACGGCCGTCCTCTTGGTTACTTATTTCTCAACTGTTATGAAGGATCCCATGTTTTTGGTGAGCCTTCGTAGACATCCGTGATATGGTGGGGAGGCTGAGGATTCAGTACATCGATTATATTATACATGGGCGCGCTGTTGTCGTTAGAGTTGATTCTCCTTATTTGTATTCACTGCTTCACTTAGATGAATTCTGCAATTTTTTAAAATGAATAGCACCCTCTGTCAAATTGGAATAAGCGACTATGTTCCCTTGTCATGAGACGTTTTTCTGTCTACTTTCGTTTATCATTTATTCATAATGTCTTCAGAATGCCATCTCCGTAGAAGAATTAGTGAAGTTGGTGGTATCAGCAATGAAGAACTCTGGTTTGTCAGAAGTTGAGAAGGAAAGCCCAGAAGAAATACTGCGGAGGAAAAGACAGCAGGTACGTCATGAATAATTGAAGTAGAGTAGATTAGACACAGTTTTTCAAAGAGATGACGACCTTCAATGTGGAGTGAAAAACTAAGCGCGCAGAAAATTACGTCGTAGTTATATTAAGATCTAAAATGATTCAAAAAGAAATCTCCACGCAGCAGAGTTTAGGATTGTTAACACCATACTTTTGTCTCCAAATGAAAATCTGGTAGTATCGTTAAGATCAATTGGAAATTTTGCTTCTGTGTACCCTTTGACCTTCACGTAACCGCCTTCCATCCGAGATTTTAATCCGGATGTTCGGTTAGAAGCCTACGCTAATTTTGCCGCCGTTGCTGCTTTATAAATAACGTATCTGAACGAAGGCGTGAAAGAGACGAAGAAGAAGAATTGAGCATATTAGGTAGACTTTTCATTGAAACCGAACAAGGAAAAGCAGACGATGAGTAGAACAGGAGTCGTCGTGCGCCGTGTATTTTGATAGAGAAGAATCTTTAATTGGCACTAGATATGGAAATGGAACTGAGGTCACCGATGTCCGACTTCCGGAGTGGACCAAAAAATTATGCGGTGAGCCAGCATATTTCAAAACTTTATTCACAGTTAGTATTACGACCATAGAACTACTACAGAGGGTCAGCAGTAGACCGTTTCCTTTTATCCTAGTGCAGCCTCCATGTAAATTTTGAAATGAATGGAGCATTTTTCTAACCACAGCTTTACGACATCGTCGTAAAGCAAACAATTCGCTTAGTAAAAGAAATAAAGAATGGCCTCCTACATGAAAAGGCGATCGAATAAACTTGGATAAGACACACTACGTTTGGATCAATATAAATTTAGACTGACCGAACTATCGGGGCCGTATACTACCCAGAAATTCTCTATCTAACAGATCTGAAAATTCTTGTTCTGAAGCATTTGCTTCTCCACTTTTAACTACGCAGGTGTTTTCTGAAGGTATTTCCATGAAGGTGATAAAAAAGGTTTAGAGTTGGTTGTTCAACAAAAGACGAACGATTCCCAAAACCGACTTTCTGTTAACCTCGGCATTGGTTGATAATTTGATGATTTTCTTCAATAAGCAGATACGAGGTTATTATTATAAAATTTATTAGGATACAATAGCTGACGTTTCGGCGGTTTGGCCTTCTTCAGAGCCTGGAAGGGTCAAATTGAGATGCGACCTACTCAGCCAAACACCTCCGTAACCTCAGCAGATAAAACATAGCACATAAATTTGTATTCACATAAGAAATAGCTTTATTTAAACACCTACCGCTTATTTGTTGTAAGTGTTTAAGTTAGTTTATGGATAGCAGCCGCACAGAGTAATGCATGGGCGAGGACTGTGTCTGTGTCAGGCCATTGGATTAGCCTGAGGTATGGCGCCAGGTCACGCGTGCTGACAAGACACTCCTCCTTGCGGTCCATTTTGAATTTTTGGAATTGATCCAAAAGGCTTTAAGAGTTTTACGCACTGATGTTTTCGATTCGTTCGTGAGGATAGTGACTTCTACTTCAAAGTCTTCTCCGTTGTGTTCCTGCATCCTATGCGCGCCTAGTGGAGTGTTTGGTTTTAATTTAGATTTACCGACTAGATTTCGACGATTTCATCATTAATGAAGTAATGTAGGCATGAAAACTATCCATACATATGGGAAAGATTCTGCTCTATCGCATCAGGCATATGAATTGTTTTCATGAAAAGATGAAAAGCTGGAATGGACAACTAGAAAGCTCTCTAAATGCTAAAGACGATATTTTTGAAATCTCCTACACCATGTAATCTACAAAAATAACTGCACGATTGCATCCGCTTCCACGAAATTTCAACTGTTAAGTCGTTCCGACGTTCAAAATTCGAGCTTGAGCTTTGCAGGATGAGAAATTTTCTTCTGTAGAGTAGAAAGTATGTATCTTTTAGGAAAAGATTTGCACACAATAACTAAGTTTCGTAGAACTTAAGAAAAGATTTTTTTGAATTTACAAAGTTCAACATGAACAGATATTTTTCTTTCGAATTGCCCATTATTTTCACAAAAATGGATTGTACTAAGTGCATGACGAATGTTATGTGATAAGCATTAATTGGAAAAAGTCGAATTCGAAAGCCTCTATTAGCTAAGTGGCTGTGCCTCTCTGCTGGATCCCTAATAGAATACCGAAGAACTTGAGCTTAGAATTTAATAAGCTCATTCAACTGATCCACTGCAACGGTAGGAAAGACTGAGAGTTTAAAAGTTACTAAATACACGACTTACTGTGAAAATTCGACCTGACACGTCAGCATGAGGAAGCATTGGGAGCAGGTACACCTGTGTTCGACTCGCAGATTTGCTCGGTTTTCCTTTGAAGAAGTTGCAAGAAACTAAAGTGAGAAGAATTCTGTGTGATAGTCAGTATTCGGTAGGTGTACGTTTATCAGTGGTCCTTTCATAATGCCAAACACTTTTAAGCTGAACGAATAGTTGGTGAACGTTTGAAATGAGCTGTGAAAATAGTTGCTCTAGTGGATCCTAGGAAAATGATGCTCTTGAGGAATGGTTTTGTTCCCGACACCCATTTACACTTCATGCAACGAAAATGATGCTCCTGCTTCGAGCGCACCTCTCCAAATTTATTTTCCTCCTCATTCGGTCCATGCTTGAAGCATGAGCCACACACAAACGCACACATATGGCTATAGTGCGACGAGCACTTTCGAAAATGCCCATTAGAGGGCAACGCACAGGTATTCCGTTCCATGCGAGCGGAGATAGAACTAAAAAGAACGAATTAGGTCAAAAGTCGTACATCAACTGCGCTACGGCATATGCAAATATCGCAATAAGACGTGAAGGAATACGATATGTTGAAGAGAACTGCTGGATATCAGGCTTCTTTCTTTAGTGTTACTGAATGTGAAGCAAACATCAGACTAGGAGCAGATATAGACTAGGCCAGGTTTAAGAGGATATCGAACGATAACTATTATGATGGTCTAAGAGCAAACTGAGAAAGCCTGCACGTAAACAGGTGGAAAAGTACTATCAGCTCCTGATAGGATCGTTCTATGATGGAAATTGCTGAGTCTTCGATAATCATTAGGAAATGTTTTAGTAGTGTCAATAGAGAAAAACCTTGAAATTGTAGTGTTATCATTCTAGTTTTCTTCAGAATAACAAGGCAGCGGCTCGTTATCGCAAGCGCCAACGTGAGGCACGAAATATGGCGGAGGGCGAGTTGGAACAGCTTCTTCAACGAAATGAAAGCCTGCGACAAACCATAGAACATATGCAGATGGAAATCGCTGAACTGAAAAGTGCAGTTCTCAGAGGAAATAGATAAGAATATTTGGCTCCCCGTAATAGATGCTACTTCAAAAATTTCATCAATTTTGTATCCCAACGATGTGTCTTCTTGTCATAGCAAAAATGTTCATGTAATAAACCTCAAGGAATTGTGGATTAAACGAATAAAGGAAGAGTTGAAGGAATTCTCTCGGATGTTGAAAAAGCACTTAAACTAAAGCGACAAAATTGCAAAAAATAAGGTATCTTGCTTGGCACAGAGAAAGTCAGGGGCGCAGGATTGAGTCAAAGTGGAGGGATCAGCAGTAACCCTATATTTTTGAATTTTATTTTCGTCAACAGCTCCCACGCTCCTTCTACCATTCAACATTCAAAACTGCACACTCATTTAAAATGTGTGATAAGCTATAGATATTTGAAATTCTTACCAAGTGGAATCAATTTCTCACTCAACGCACAGGACAGGTTCATCTCACACCTTCAAAATACTCCTCTACGACCGCGACTTTTACAGTCTACCAGTTTTCTAAATTGCTGATGGCACGTATGGAGTAAAAATATGGCTGAGAGAAAACAAAAGCAAGGGTTATGTTTCGAATTATAACTCGTATGAAATGCTGAGATATTCCCGTTGACGGGTGATTGCTGATGGCAGAAAGATCGATAGAACTAGCTGAGAGACATGCAAAGCGAAGGACCCGGATGGTGTAGTGGTGAAGTGCGCTGCTCCCCGGTAAGGACAACAGCGCGTGTTCGTTCTCCACTGCATACACCTGTGGTCCGGAGTTTTGCAAATATCTCAGCATTTCATACGAGTTATAATTCGAAACATAACCTGCCATTAAGAAAAAGGCAGTAAATAAAAGAGTTAAGAAAAGCAAGGGTTTCAATTTATTGTGGTGAATAGCACGAAACACTCCAGTAGTGGTGACTGCGGGTTCTAAGTTCAAAGAGATTCTGAGTCTCATGTCTCAACATTCCCATGATTTTATTTTACATCGTACCCTCTCAAGAAAAAAAAAAGATTAGACAGAAATTGAAGTTGAAGCTCTTGTATAGTAGCGTAGCATAAAGCCTAATATTAAACAGGGTGAGAGTTCCAGAGCAAATTCTAGAAGTCTTTCAACATTTTCTCATTATGCTCTCAAAATGATACCAAAGCATAATACCATATGAATGTCGTTCGCGGTGTTGTAAAACACTCATACTTCACCATACACGAGAAACCTATAGCCAAATTCCAGAGTAAGTGCGTTACCTCTATACAACAAATACAAATACAATGCACAGCGTAACACTTGTACAATGGTTATCGGGTGACACAGGTTCGATTCCTGCATTGAGCAATGTTTCGTACTAGGCGAGAATGAAAGGCACAGATTTGGCCTGCAATGCAAGTCGTCCATTTTACTACAAGTGTTATAGATCTCTGTTTTCTACCAAGTGAGACATCATCAAGATAACATAGTCTAAAAAAACAGGAGAAAATTCTGACAGTTAGAAGCAAATAGTTGTTATTAGATTCCAATAAAAAATTGACCATACAATGAGCCTTTGCTTCGAAAAATTGCAATCACTGCCACTGTGTACTTCGACAATATTTTAGTTCACGATTCCTTTCTTAGTCCGTGCTATCGCCCAACATCATTGTCACATTACTGGGAATGTTTAGAAAGTATGAACAGTTGAAGAAGCGCTGGTCACTTTCCAAGATTGATTTCGTTATTTGAAATGAGATTTTGTCGCTTCGGAAAGGGTTAAACGAAAACCTCCCATAGATGACATATGAAAACTGCGCAGTCATCAAAGTTTGTCGCAAGAAGTGAAGAAGTGCTAAAATGTACCCCTCTATGGCACGCTTAGACCATAGAGCAACTAGCTTGTGCACGGACTGTAGTTTTACCGTGTAATACGTATTCCCCTCCCAACGGTTTACCGCCTCATCGTGGCGGGGAGGTGTTCCTGGGTGTCGGGCTGCGATGTGCAGCGGAGGGATTCGTCTCTCTGACAGGGTCTTCCAGTTTGAGAAGGAACCTGACGTTTCCATCAGGAAGCTTAACTAAGAGTAAGCCAATACCAGGTTCCACCACCGTCTTGGTATCAAAGTTGCATGGTGGTAAATCTCCCTCTGATCCACAAAAGCTGCGACTGCCTGTCGTGGTGACGACCTGAGGCAGACTTTGACCAGGCTGTCCTCGAGATTCCAGGGAACCACGGTGGCTTAACCAACAAATCTCCGAGGAATGGTGATTGTGCTGGGGCTCCTACAACTAGTGATGACAGTCCATTCAAGTGTCAAGTGTCAAGTATAGTTGTTGGTGCTCCATGTTGTGGCCTTGGTGACACAGGTTCAATTCCTGCAATGGGGATGGTTTTGTGGCAGATGGAAGGCAAGGACACGTATAGGTCATGGTAGTGATACATTTTGCATTGAACTGTTGTCCACAGCAATGTTCTAGCGTTGCAAGGTGCTCAGTTATTGGGAGAGGTTCTATAGTAGTTAGTACTCCACGTTGTAGCCGTGGGTACCACGGTTCAAATCCTGGATTGCTGGTTTGGTGACGGTTCGTAATGAACGGAATGTTTTAGATCGCGCTGTTCTCGCGATAGGGGGTGCCTGTCAATTGGCCCAAGTACTACAGTGGTTAGTACTCCCCGTTGTGGCCGCGGCGACACAGGTTCGATTCCTGTCTTGGGCGCACTTTTGTGGTAGATGTAAAGGGAAAGGTCAGATTGATCATGGTAGTGGTCCATTTTGCACAGAAGTGTTGTCGACCGCAATGTTTTTGCAATACTGGATGTCCAACTACTGGCAAAAGTAGTGTAGTGGTTAGTACTCCACGTCGTGACCTCAGGCACAGTTTCTAGTCATCTTCTATCACGAGAGCACTGCGATCTAAAACAGTGTGGAATCTACCACCGATATAGAAACCGAATTTGTGCCTCTGGTCTCCAACCACTATGAGACCGTCCTTAATACAGAATTGATACCCGTGTGCCTACGTAGGATTCTGGATTTTTTTTTATTGTGGATGGAATCCAAAGGCACAGATTCGGTCTTCCATTTCAGTTGTAAATTTCACACTGAAGTGTTGTATATCGCAAAGTTCTGGTAGTTGAGGATGCGTAGCTGTTGATCCAGCAGTTATAGCAGTTAGGGCTCCATTTTATGGTCATTGCTACACGGTATGAAGCAATTGGTGCATAGTTCAGGGAATGGCCGTGGTAGAACTACTGTTCAATATGCTATGGAGTACCAGTCACTACCTCCTCTTGGGAACAACTTTTCCCAACCCTGAAATTATGAACTGGTAAACAGACATTTTTATGAAGCTCACTATAATCCAGTGATCTAGTGAACTGTTTATGGTTAGAGCCTAGGAGCGACCAAATACGACTAACTTAGCATTCCGTTGTATAATCAACTCGGTCACCGCTCGTTGATCCATATAGAGATTCTATTGCAGCAGCTGAATGCATAGGCGAATCTGAAGAGCAATGTGCATAACCGGTATTATGAAGAGAATTAAATGAAAGTAGTGGGATAGAATGTTAAGTCAGCCCATACCCATTGCGTTAAATGAGCACAATATTTTTGATTGTTGATAGGCAAATTCCGACCCACATGAAAGTTTCAATAAGATTTGATTTCCATAATATGTTTACCAGAAACCGTTTCATCACACTGTGGAGATGGAAGAAGCAGTAGCATTGAGATCACCTATTATTCTCTTTAGTACGCAACTAATTTTTATTTCCAAAAAAGCAGAGCCTCTCAACGGTTTACCGCCTCATCGTGGCTAAAAGATGTTCCTGGGTGTCGGGCTGCGATGTAAAGCGGGGGATTCATCCCACCAGCGGGGACTACAAAGCTGAGAAGGAGTCCGTCGTTTCCTATCAGTCCATCAGGAAGCCTAGCTAAGAGTAAACCAATGCCAGAATCCACCACCGTCTAGGCATCAAACTAGTCGCATGGTGGTAAATCTCCCTCTGATCCACAACGCAGCAACCTCTGGTGGTGAGGATCTGTGGAAGACCTTGGCTAGGCTGACGTTGGGACTACAGGGAACCACAATGGCTAAACCAGCAAAACTCTGAAAAACTAGGAATGATACCCTGTCCCGCACCACCAGTGAAGACGAGCCATTCAAGCATCCAAATCAGTAAAAGTGCAGAAAGTCGCAAGCAACGAAAAAGAGCTCGTGTCGCGAATGACTTAATATTGAATAAAAATATGCATTTGGTTCTACGGAGGTAAGAGCGCTTTGCATAATTGTTTTGTTTCTGCCAACATCGCTTTAGCTTCCACTGAGTCATAGTGAGCAATTCATATTATCCTTCACTATTTGTACAGTTTCTAGTGCATAATATAATCGAATGCTTAACGAAATACGGACATGTCGTATTTTCTTCAATAACGATGAGCTCTTTCGAAGTAGTAATGCAACCATCATCTTCCGCTCCCGTTTAGTAAAGGGAAATGCGACCCCTCGTTGAGGGTGTGTGCGTATAAATGGCAGCCGGTGGAGCGCTGACCTCTGGCGCAACCCTTAACCGGCGCCAACCCCCATTCCGCCTTCCGGACCGGCCAGCGCCAACCCCCATTCCGCCCTCTGCACCGACCGGCGTCGCAGCCGGCCGCCCGGCACTCAGCTGTTCGGCCGGCATTCGTCCACTGGCACCCTCATTTCGTTTCTACACAACAGTTCTTCGCATTATATTTCACCGTTGTTCATTGTTTAGTCCTTCATATTTTTTCTTCATTTTCTACGACATTCAATCGCTTCTCTCTTAATTCAAAGTCCTTCTGAATTTATTTGAATTACCAGAATCACCATTTCGACAGTTCGCCAATAATTTTGCACCCGCAAGTTCACATACTCTTGATGTTTCTATGTCTTTTTAAGTGTACGCCTATAAGTTTTCGGTGTCGTTTTGGTGCACTCATTTTTCATTGTAATAAAACTTGCACTTACTTTTTCATAAGTTTTTAAAAAAAAAATAATCCGATGTTTCTTTAACCTCTTCATCAGAACT